GTGCACCAGGCCTCTATCCTATATAATAAAAGGGTAATATGCAAATTGACCCTAACAGCAGAACGACTGGGAATGACTGGTCACTATGACACACACTGACCACCAGTGGGCAGATGCTCAATGCAGGAGCTGCCCCCTGGTGGTCAGGGCACTCCCACAGGGGGAGCTCTGCTCAGCCACAAACCAGGCTGACAACTACCAGCACAGCTGTGTTGGCGGGAGCCTTTCCTGCCTCTTCAGCAGTGCTAAGGATGTCCAACTGCAGCTTAGGCCTGCTCCCCGCTGGCAAGTGGACATCCTCCGAGGGCTCCTGGGCTGCCAGAGGAATGTCTGACTGCCAGCTTAGGCCCAATCCCCCGGGGAGTGGGCCTAAGCCAGCAGGTGGACATCCCCCGAGGGGTCCTAGACTGCCAGAGGGCACAGACCCGGCTGAGGGACCCCGCCCCCACCCGAGTGCACAAATTTTTGTGCACCAGGCCTCTAGTTATTTTATATCCCTTTTAGAAGAAATGCTGCTTATTAAACCTGACGTTAATATGTCATTGATTATAAGATGAATCTCACAATTACAGAGATGTTAAAATGTGAAAAAGTGGGCAACTTAGAATCCATGACAGTGTATTATATTCTTTAGATAATTTTTTAAAGATAAATTATGACATCGGATACTTTTGTGGTCCTAGATGGGTTCTGCAAAGTTAAGTGAGCACTGACCCAGGAATCCCTATGTGGTGTGGCTCCCAAGTCAGCCTGACTCTACCCTGCTACCCCCCACCCACCTCCCACTCCCCAAATTCTATTCCGTTCATGAAGATGTCCTGAGAACTTCTGTCATATGCCTTCTGAAAGGCAGGTAGCTTCTGACCTCTAGTGATCTGTCAAAAATCAAAATGAGGATTATTTGTTGTGATTGTTGCTTCAAGAATCTAGTTAATTCTGCTGGTCTCAGTTTCTTACATCTTAGTGTTCACCAAGTATCCATTGAATAGCCTCTAGAAATCTTTGATTAGCTTTGGTCTAATCTAGATTGTGTTGTGTGTATAAGGGGGGATTACTCAGGCATGATTTGGGAAAAATATGTCCCCACTAATCAGCCTTGAAGTAAAATTGGAACTTGGTAGTACAGTTAAGGATAAGAAAGGCAGAGGGGCCCTAAAACGAAACGCGGTTGCTGTGTCTTAGGCACAGTTGTAGGAAGGAGGTGTCATCTCCTCTCATCCTTGCAGCAGCCAGGGAGCTCTTACCCTGTGTGACTCATACTTTCTCTGGCAGAACTGAGATTAAGGTTCAGGTCCGTATGACCCCAGAGTACATGCTTTCCCAGTTTATCCCGTTGCCCTCCATCTGTGGCAGGTGGAAAACAGACCTGGATGAAGTGAACAGGATTTATCTCATGGCTTTGCCACTTCCGTACCTGCGAACTTAGGCACTCTCTGAGATTTAGTTTCCTCATTTTAAAATAAAAACAAAACTATTATCGTTTCATATTCCCGTTTGATTTCGTCATGAGTTAAATAATATAAAGTTTTTTGTGTGAAAAAACTTTAATAAAAATTATATAAAGCTTATGTAGTTGACTGAAATAAAAGGATTTTTAAACCAAAGCTGTAACTAATTTTAGTGTTGACTCAATAAAGGGAATTCATTTCCGTTTTATTTTTTTTTAGTCGAGTAGAATTGAAAAGATTGTGTGAGATCTTCACACGAATGTTTGCTGACCCACATAGCAAGGTAAGTCTGGGAATCATGCCTTGCTTACCTTTCTCTCTGCATGTCTGTGAGCTGTGTCATATACTTTTAAAGAATGAGAGATAATTCCCTGTAGTGAAGTTAAGACCTTACAGATTAGCCCTGGTTTGTGGCTCAGCTGGCTGGAGCATCGTCCTGTACACCAAAAGGTTGCAGGTTTGATTCCAGGTCAGGGCACATACCTAGGTTGCAGGTTCTATCGCTGGTCCATCCATGTTTTTCTCTTTCCCCCTTTCCTACCCCCTCTCCCTCCCTTTTTCTTTCTCCCTCTCTCTCCCTTCCACTAAACATATCCTTGGGGGAGGATTAAAAAACACGCAAAAAAGACCTCACAGATGTAACACTAATTTCAGCAATAGCTTATGTCACATCTTTTAAAAATGGAATTCTTGGAAGCTTCAAATATCTATGAAACTTCAAATTATATATAAAGTGCATTTCAAGTTCGAGTTATTATGGAGGGAATCAGTTGTCTTTCAGCAGATATTTTTGAGTGGCTCCTATTAGCTAACAGTGGGCTAGATGCTAGAATGTAACACTGTATTGTATAATATAGTGACTTTTAAAAAAATTTTCAGTAGTGAAGAAAATAATCAAGTATATAATAATTTTTTTTGCATCCCAGGTAGAATATTTCTATATAAGACAAGATGGAAAAGTGGAAGCATTTATGTAATAGATTTATTAGAGAACCAGGTTAAGTTATTTTTACAAATAGAATTTGCCAGCCCCAAGAACTTGCTGCCTGGTGGCCACTTAGCTGGTGCCTCCCCCTCCTGGGAGCCCAGGAGAGCACTGAGCCTGAGGCCTGCCTTCTGACAAGGGCGTCCCTGCCCAAGGAGCGCACCACAAGGAGGGGTCCGGGCCCCTCTCAGGAGTGGTGCCGAGAGGGCCCTTGAGAACCGCTTACTCGGAGTCCAGGTTCTACATAATTGTCATTGTTTGGGGATGATGATATTGGGAAAGTTAAAGGGTGGAAAAAGGAAAGAAACCAAAGTACAGAAATTGAGGAAATCTTAGTCACCATAAGCAAATCTTAAATGCTTTACATGCAGGACTTCACTATCTTATACTTCAGTTTCCTAGTGAAAATGGTCTGTCCTAAGTTTTTCTGGAAGCATGAAGCCGTGATGGCCCAGAAAGAAGCTGTTTTGTGATGTCCCCTTTTCTGAGCCTTTCCTCTTCATGGGAGTTGTCCCTTAAGCTGCCACCTCTGTCCCATCATTCAGCATTCCTGGCACCCACTCTGGGCAAGGGGTGCACGAAGCAGCATGTGACCCCTGCCTTTTGAGATGCTCACACAGCATAGGGGAATGAGTGCGGGCATTCTCCCCCTTTTCTGGACAGCACTTCTCGATCGGTCTTGAAGTGTGCTTTAAAATCCCTGTCAGGACCCTGACCCTCACAGCAAGGTTAACATTAACTATTAATAAGATCCAAGAAAGGTTGAGTTTAAGGGCCAAATAGATATAATTATCAAGATTTCTTCTCTAAAATAATGTTAAAAACACTAAGATTTAAATCATAAGCATAAGATTTATAGCATTAAGGATTAGATGGTTTGGGACATTGACGAAATTTCTGTTACCTGTCACCTCTAGATTGCTGATTCAGAACCAGAATGTGAGGATAAAGAAGGAAATTTGTTTCCATCAGAAGGCTCTTGTACAGTGAGTTTGGAGGTCTCAGTCTAGTTACTATTTGCAGCTAAGTTAGGAACCCCACAGCTGGGCTCATGGACTTTCTTCTGAGCCACTTGACACCCTGGTGGTTAATAGTTGCTGCACTATTTGGTATATTATCACTGGGTTGTCTCCGTAGAGCGATGCTCATATCCAAGTAGAGGGAGATAGGTGCCACTTACCTCTCTGAGATTGGTCCACTGTGACTGTCTCACCTTAGACAGCAATAATAAGTATATAGCAGCATGATAATAATGTGAGGTTTTAAGCCATAACCTTTTATAAAGCTTTTTATGGCTTTTGTAATATCCTATCTAATACAGTGGGGCCTTGACTTACGAGTTTAATTCGTTCCGTGACGGAGCTCGTAACTCAAATTACTCGTATGTCAAATCAAAAAGTGAACGAGTGAGACACGTGATGCTGGGCTGATGTTGTGGCATTCACTGTGACGTTCGCTGCGCCAACTAACGGTAGGGTATCTGAAGCTGGCTCGTAACCCGAATTTTAGCTCGCAACTCAAAGCAAAAAATCGGCCAAGAGATGGCTCGTATCTCGAAAAACTCGTTAGTTGGGACACTCGTAAGTCAAGGCCCCACTGTAATAGACAAACATGGTAATTGACCATACCTTCGCTATGCCTCCCATTGGCTAATCAGCACGATATGCAAATTAACCGCCAGTAAAGATGGCGGCTAATTTGCATACTGCAGGCAGGGCAGGGCAGCTCGAGCCGCCAGCGCACCGCCATCCAGGGCAGGCCCACCCCTGCCTTGCCCCAGAAGCTCCAGGATCCAGCCCCACCTTGCCGCCCCAGAAGCCCCAGGAGCCCCTGATATGGTAGTAACTCTATCAGTAAGCACTCTGAAAGTCAGTGGCATCAATTAAAAGACAGATTATGAGGGTGAATCAAAAACAAAACCCACTTTAAATATAAAGACACATATAGATTAAAAGTAAATGAATTAAGCTGCAGCCTGTTTT